GGGGTGAGTCTGTGTCTCAGCTGGGTCTTTAAGGGCACTTCCAGGTCCAGCAATGTTTGTGTTTTTCTGACCTCAGAGCCCTGACATTTGGAGGGTTATAATTCTTAGACTAAAGAAGCCATGCATATGCATCAATTCTAAGGATTGAATTGATCAGAGCACACAACCTTTCCTCCAAACTGCAGGACAAGGGTTCCTCTGCTGTGGGGTCTGGACTGTCCTGTGAACAGGATTTCCCTCGTGAATTTTTCAGAAGCAGGTAATAAGAGGCCCAAGAAGATATAAAAATATAGCAGGATACTTTAAGAAAATATAATAAACCAAAATTTAAATGGTGAACCTGGATGAGTACCAGGGCCTCTCACCAAACACAAGGACTGTAAAAAGCAGAAAAAGACACCTTGAAAAGCTCGGCACAACAGAGGTAGTTTTACCTGAGGTGAAGACTTTTTCTGAGTCCTGCTTGATAGGGTAAAATTGTCTACAATTTCTCGTTTTGTTGACATTTTATTCCTTTCAAACCAGAGGGAAACCACTGGACTTTGGTATCTGATATCTAAACACCATATTTGTTGCAGGGAAACTGAGTCAAATACAAAGGAGAGCTGAAGAAGCCACTTCAGTTGGTGTCCAATCAGGGAAACCACTACTACAGTTTTATCAGTGGTTTAGACAGAAATCACACTTGGCCTGGTAACATCCAAGTTAGTTGCTACATTTTGGGTACAATTGATATTATCCATCCTGCATCCCAGAGAACAGCCAAGCTCTCTGTGAGTCACTAAAGCTGCTCTCACAGCTTACTGCACCTATAACTACCACACACCAGCAAACCCCTAAGCCTGCTGGCTTAAACCGAGGGGATCATAAGCTGCAAAGCACTTCAGAGGTTTTGACAAAAGAGATTATGATTTCTAAACCCCATAAGCACAAAAAGGTAGATTGCATTCTCAGGGTCAAATGGCTTCCAGTGCCAGGACTTACACACCCCATTGCCAACCCGATGGGCAGATGCAAACTGCATCCTCATGATCCATCACATAACCCTTGCTACATCATCTCTGCAATATTTTTAAAGTTAATGAGCATTATGTCAGTGAATTACAGCTTCATGCCACTTTCTCTTAGATTGCACGTCTCCTGGAGGAATGGGTCTTTGATTTTCAAGCTCCCTTACATTCCAGCACAGCAACCTGCTGGGGATTTATGGGCATTTCATGAGTGTTTAATGAGGCTTACACCGTAACCAATCTAAACAGCTCTTGACCATGGCATTCTGAAGCACATCCAGTAAGGCTGATGGAGCCTGACACACCTTGAGAGAAATACTGAATGAATCAGAACAATCAGCTTGCCCTGTCCCTCTGTTCCTGCTTTGCTGGTGAATACCAGATACTCATATACACAGAATAAGCACTCCCTGGTTGATTTCTGGTTGGCTCAGATCTACAATGAATTCAGGATGGGCAGTACTCACTGATACATTTCTGTAAGTGTTTAAACATATAGATCAACTTTATTATCTGTCAGCTTGTAATCTAAAACTCTCATTTTAAAGAAAAAGTAGAGTATAACAAAGACCTGAAAGCAACATATTAAGATGGTATTTTAAGAGTACTATTTAATGACATTCTGAAGGGCAAAAGTCTCACTCCTGGAAGGTATTTGAATGCCTAAATATCTTTGAGCATCTAGATGCCCCCAAAAGAGTTTATATTTGCAAAGAAAGCTATTAAGGTAATGTAATTTAATATACAGCATTTGAAAGAGAGATAAATTAGAGTTACACGTACATGCAGCCTTAAATCTGATGTATTCCATATCTTGCACCTAACACACATAACATCCTTAAACATTTTGAACAAGGTTTTCCTAAAGTTGATAATTAGAATGAAACACTTATCTAGAAAGCTTTCTGTTTCAAAATCAGATACCCACAAGCTCCTGAAAAAGGAAATGAGGCAGAAAGGAAAGAAACTTATGTGTGATACTCTCATTTACAACAAAAACTAACAGCAGCTTTTGCTCTTTCAAGGATCCATGCTATTACAAGTGCTTATTCAGATACATCCTATGTGTAAAATAAACCTTCATGAGTTTAAAATTAATTTAATTTTCACAAATATTCGTGTGTACAGCATGTGCCTCTGCCAGCTTTTACAATCTAAACTGGAATATTCTGGAGCCTAATTTTCCCTTCACAGCAGGAGTGGTGCTACTGATTATCAGATCTTTTTCAAGCTCAAATCTACATATGTGATTGACCTACAAAGTCTCTTTTGTATCAAAAAACATTTTTGAACTGTAAACACTTGAAGAATTCTGCTGCTGCTTGCTGTGCCCTTCTTATGCTAACTTTTGCTGCTGGTGAAGTTGGGATCATGCTAACAAGGGACAACTACCCTGGAAAGGGGCAGGAGGAGGCAGCAGGTTTACTGGAGAAAGCACCATTTTGTACTTCTGCTTGTTCCTAAACATTACCAGATAGCCACAGACACAGTCATGCTCCCAGGGCAGGAAATCCCTCAACAAGACCTACTATGGTTGTTCCTCAGAGCAAGTACCATCACTCCTGAAGGTCTCTTACCTATCCAGGTTTTATTTTTTCAGATGAATCCAGGAAAGAAATCAGCTTTGCTATCCCATCTTTTTGTTTTTTTTCCTTCTGACTTCTCCGTTCACATGCTTTGCAAATTTGTTTCACTATAGAAAATAACTGCTATAACATTTAGGGCTGTCTGGCCATAGTCAATGGAATTGGCATGGAGAGCTCTGTCTTTCCTGCTCCACGTGGTTCTTGTGTGGAGCATAGGTCAGAAAGAAAAATCATCAGAAATTTGTCTTGTAGTGTGTCTTTTGTCAGCAGATGCTGAACACAGTGCTAACATGTACCTGTAGCTTTGCTCCCACTGCTTGACAGGGTAATAAACACTTCACATTGGAGTGACTTCCAGTCCTTTTGAGTGTAGGTAGTCAGTAATAATTCAGCACTCTCACTTAAAAGATGAAATTAAGCTGTCAGAAATATTATCTCTATGCCAAAAGTTATACGGAAGCTTACTGACAGCAATCCTCGTTTTTGCTCGTCTCACTCACCCTGTTGCCATTGGGGTTCTGTCTTTATTTTTGTACTTTGAGTTAAACAGCTGTCAGTTTAAACTTATTTGTAGAAACTGGTGCAGACAAATTAGTTCCTATCCCTGTGCTGGTTATCTTGACATTAATGGGGAATCCAGAGCTAGCAGTCAGAGAGGTAAGTAGTCTGAATGGGAAAGAAACACAATCCACCAAAATCACAAAGTAGCCTCAATTTTTGGATCTTGTGACCCACACTCAAAAAGACAATAAATAGCCTTTCTGTGCTACAAAGAGCCACAGAACTGCAAAGAGGTTCTTGTTCTTGACAGAATAGAAACTTAATGGAACACTTTGGGTACTTTAAACTTGCAACCTAAATTTTGGCATTTCCTGAAATACTGCAAAGGTTTTTTTCTTTTACAGTGGAATCAAACTTTACATATTTCACCATCAAACATTAAGTAACAGTAAAGTGTTTGGGGATGCAAAAAAAAACCCCATCCCCTTTGCCAAAGCACTTCCTGCTAAACACTCCTCAGAGTTACACAGAAAAAGAGGGAATATCCAGTTTTCCCGTTCAGTAAAAAAAACTCTGTATTGTCAAAAGAAACAGGAATAAGTTTCTGGTATATGCTGATGTCTGAGGGGTTACACAGACCTTGCTCAGACACCATCAAAAGACGGTGTTCCCCAGTGCGGAAGACTCTGACAGCTGAGTTCAGCCCAGTTTGGGGCACTTCACGGTCCTGCTCTTGGTTGAGAAGTCAGAGAATCACTCTGCCATACACGTGATGTACACAGGCCTGACCTATTGCTTTGCATGTCTTATGTCCAGTACTGTTTAAGTGCTTATTTAGCCTGGGCTGTTCTGCTAGAACAAACATTCTCGTCTAGATTCCAAACAAAAAGATAAGCACGCCAGCATTGCTTCAAACTCATGTTTCCCTGAAAAGGCTTTCTTAGGGGAAAGGACTGTCTAAAGGCCTGGTGTGCCTTTGCTTGCAATTATTGGAAGCTTTATTCATGTTTTGGTTCCCCAAAGCAAGGCATGCTAAAGAAATCTGGGTTTTTAAGTGATCAGAACTATCTGGCCACTTAATGATTATTCTTTGCATTAGGGCAGAAATTTAGACACTACACTGCATTGCACAAACCCACACTGTCCGAGACAAAGCAAAATATCTGCTCCAGACAAAATGAATGCTCTCCTCTTTATCTGCAAGAAGTGTCAGGCTTTTGAGGGAAAGATCAGAACAGTGCAAGGTCAGGAAAACAAGATGACTGCATCCTCCATACTCTGTGGAGGAACAAGCAGTAAGGACTTCAGCTGAGACTGAACTTACTCTCTTTGCTTTTCAGTCCTGGGCTTGACTACAAATTTCTATTTTGTCTGTAGCAGGCAGTGGCCCCAGAAGAGAATGATCAGCTTTAAACATCAGTCCTTTGGTCCTAGCCTCCTACAGCCCATGAGCTAGGAAACAGCAAGATCTAAACAGTCTCAGAACGACTCCTCACACTTGAAAACGCGTTCCCATGGTTTTTCAGGCACATAGTGAGACCCACCAGCTGGGAAGGCCATTCTGCCCAGTAGGAGCCAGGTTTACTTCAGCAACATAAAGATAGTGACACTTCAATACAAATTAATATATACCAAATAGAAGTCCTAAAAATAACACCAAGAAAATAAAGCATGCATGCATCTGGGAAGCTGCAAACCTGTTTTCCTGCTCTCACACTGTATAGGTAACATATTTTTGTTTAAAAGTTCTTTTCACCTAAAGTGAGGCAGAATTTTGGAGGATGGCAGGGACATATTTATGCATTCATATACTGCAAGGCAGCAACAATGTAAAAATAGCAAGAAAAATAAATTGCTACCTAGCACAGAAAGAGAAACTGCAGCCACTGTCCCAAATCTTTACCTTTCAGAGTTGCCTTCTTAAGTACCTTCATGGCATAAAGCTGGCCTGCATCAGATCCTTTTATCTTCCTGACTAGAAATACCTGTAAAAAGCAAATGTTTTGTATAGATGAGTACTGAATTTCTACTTACAAGACTTACTGCATTCAGCAGGAGAATAGACACTGTGGTTCAGGAAATCTAATGAAAATTACTAGCTGAAAGCATTTCATGTCTATTTCACCTGCAATTGGTTGAGCTAGCTCTGGAAATTTTCAGTTTTAAGCCTTTACCACCTCACAAAAAAAACATTTTCAATATTATTAATTGACATCATATATTCAGTTAAAGATGGGTGAAAAGTTAGAATCAGTGTGCACATATCTCTTCACATTCTGACCAGCTTTATACGAAAAAAATTATGTCTCATATGTGTCTAGGAATGTGCAGTGTCTTAAAATTATTTCCATCAATTAAAGAAAAAAGTCAATTTGGTGGCATTCATGCTATAACTCATGAATAGCAACTTGCCTAAGATGCAGCTGAAGCAGAAAGTTCATACAGCTGAAAATCTGTTATTATTATAAAAGAAAGGACAGTTTTTCCTGTTACAGTCTCCTATGCTTCATCTTCTGACAGTGTAAAATTTTAATTAAAGTAAAATAAAATAAAATAAAGTAAAATAAAATTTGTAGCTAAACTTGCACTCTTTTTATTGTGTTACATGCAAATGTTTCTTATTTGCCCCTCAGTCCATCTGAGCACTAGAGGGGTAGTGAACAACAGGATCAGTGGTTCAGTTTGGTCTTTATAAGACTTTTAGTGTTTTAATAATTGGAAATAAAAGAAACAACTCTTTTAGCTGGTTCTCAGGACACTCTCTGTCTGCTGAGGTCGGAAGTACCAGGCAACAGTTATTTTTATTTCAGCACTTGTGGTACTGGACAGAAGCTGAAGTGAAGCCAAATGTAAAAATAAAAATATAGTCTCACGTCCATACAGTCCCATATACTCATTAATATACAAATTAACAAAGACTAGGTGAAATTATCTAACTAATGAATGTCTATTTGGATTAAAAATTCCATGGCAATTATTTTATTAATTGCCTGTCCAGGAACCTTGCAGCTTTGTTAACTGTCTCCACCTAAAAGATAAAAAGCCAAAAAATAAGGAAGGAGGACGTATGTTTCCAGCACAATTTTTGCAAGCTGAAAGACTCTTCCTCCTAAAAAACCCCAGCCTGTAACCAGATTAGATTTTCTCAAATCCATTTGAGGAAAGGTTTGTGGGAAGGGAGAACAAATTTTATCAAGTAGGTACAGAAGCTGGGGGGAAAAAAAAAGTGAATTCTCTCTGAACAGCTTCATCAGAACTCTTACATCTGACAGCATCACAGCTTCAACACTGGTACAACATGGTCTGACAGGGTTTTGGTGAGACTGTCCTTCTCAAGACATTTCCTGTGCAAATGAGATATGCAGAGCTCCTCAGCTGAGCTGCCCTGACCAGCAAAGCCTGGGCACACGTTGTTTGCTCCCAGCCCCTGCTTCCTACTCTGATGAACATACAAACACCTCCAGTGCTCACAACTGTAGGAAAAAATGATGAACTCTGGATGCAATAGGTGCACGTAAGACTTTCTGAAGTGTGTTTTTGTTGTTATTCATGGTAAATTGAGCTCAGCTGCTCCAGCATTAACAGGAAGTCAATTCATTTAGAAGTTTACAGAGAAAAGTTGGGATATTTTTCTGGCCAGGCCAAGTAAAAGATTTAATTTTTTTATTACATTGAAAAGGAGGAGAAAGTCAAAAGCAAGCTTGTCCAGACACTAGATTTTCAGCTGTAGTATTATTATTTTTAAGAAACATTTATGGGCTCTTTACCCCAAAAAACCCCAAAAACCTAAACTCTTAAGATAATGGTTTTCAGAAGCACTGCCCATAAAACAGCACAGCATACAGGACCTGCAGAAATATAAGGCTGTAGTTCTAGAAATATCTGGTGTGCTATATAATCTTGCAGAACTTGTAATACCCACATTGCTGTAATAAGCAAAATTGTCAATTTACATTACTAGTCACTAGTCAGCTGTTCACTGTAGCACGGGATAGGGCACTTGTCCGCATTCCCTCCAAAAAAGATGAGTCAAGAACACTGTGTTCTATTTCAGAGGACATCAAAATAACCGCCAAACCAGAAAGGAACAGAACAAATGAAAATGCACTGTACTGCAAAATGATGTCACCTTTCTGATTATTCTGAAATGTAAAGTGACACATCATTCTTGAAACCACCAACTAGCCCTGAAGTGCTTAAGTGACATGTTATATTAGCTGGACTAGACAGGTTTGCCAGAATAGCATGTGCATGTGGTTGAGCATGACTTTCAATTTTCTAGTTTGATATGTTTGCAAGCACCTCAGGTTATTATCACATGAACTAGCAGAACTCCCTTAGCTGGAGCAATTGGTGCATCACCCAAAACCTGATATAAAAATCTAATCAAGGGTTCTGCATCTCAAGAGTGTTGGGGGCACTCTCTCTTACACCAAAGACATCTCTAATCCTGCAAAATATTATTTAGGCCTTGGGTGAAGAACTTGAAAACGTATTGGTTTGCATCCCCAGGGACATGGATTTGAATTATTAGCTCAAATACCAAGGTGATAAAAATGTAGGTGGCTGGGGACTGACTGCATAAGTAACCCAGAGCAGACCTCCCTTCCCCCCCATGTCTTTGCTGCTCCAGGGAGTTTACTTCTGTTTCTCACATAAGATATGGAAAGTGATTTGTAATTACATGTAGCTCCAGACAGGTACATTGTCCACACTCACACTCTTATGCCCCAGAAATCAGACTTCCTTTTGGGAAGAGGTTGCAGAGACCAGGCATTTTGCTTATAAAACACCTAAGGCCAGAAGGCCAACACAAACAATACTGAAAATACATCAATGCAATCTAAGATAACCAGTAAACCATTTCTAAAATCTTTACTGCCTATATATGAAAACTGAATATTCTGCCTCTGTTACTTTTATCAAAGATGTTTCTTTCTGTTCTTCTCCTTCCCACACTGAGTCCCATAGTAAACCTAATTTTGAGCTATTTGCTTTTCCACATTCATTTAATATTTAAAACTTAAACACACTATGCTCAGAAGAAATTCTCAAGCTCAAGACTTGGTATTGAATGTTAACTTTCTTGATATCTTTCATCTCAGGGAACTTCTAATAGATTTGATCATCAGTGTATTCTAGAATAACCAGGAAGTTGATAAATACTGTTAACATAGCTTCCTTTAGAAAAAAAAACTAAAGGTTCTGTTTGGAAAATATGTTTTTAAAACTCTACAAAATAATACATTTATAATTATGAGGACTTCAATGCCTAGTTTCAACTACGTTCTCTGTTCCAAAGTTTTCAATGTCTTATAGAAAGACTCTAAGGCTGAATAGACTCTTCTTTCTCTCCATCTTTCCTTCCTGTTCTCATTTGCAACCAACATGCCCTGCTGAAGAACTGTCTTTGGAAGTCAGAAAATCCTTTGTCTTAAGATATGTTGAGAATGTTATTTCACCACAAATTAGCTTGTGGTCATACAGGCAGGATATTTTTTTCCCCCCCATGCTCTTGCGATAATGATTACTGTATTCTGCACTGGGGTTTATCTCCAGGACCTTTCAAGGCCTCTGAGTGTGAACTAAACAGAAGTCTAGGATTTGGAAATATGCTTAAGGTTTTCCTTAGTGGGAACTGTGCAGCTAACTTCTTTAAGTCTTTCAATAGTCCTATTTACATCTTCCAACTAAGCAGCAATGGCACACTCACCTCCCTGGTGGATGGGTCAGAACTCACCAATATTGCTTATCACTGTTTCTAAACAATAATGCTTACTAACAATCACTTGTGCTCATTAGTCCAGGTCTAGAGACATAGGTGCTATTTCCTAAACTGGTTCATATGCAGAAATCCAGCTAAAAGACTGAAATGAAATGGAGATAGAAGGGCTTTCCTTATCTGCCTTTACAATATAATTTATATCCGACAATATCAGCAATGTAAATGAACTCAGAGAAAGGACACAATATTTTCAGTGTTGCTCTGGGTGATTAGATGACAATAAAAATTACCTTTCCATATGAACCTTGTCCTAATACTTTCAACAGTTCAAACTGAGAAGGATCTGCTTTTTCAAAACCTTCCTTGACATGATGACTGATGTCTATTTCCTTCACGATACCTTCTTCCTGCAAAGGGAAAAACAAAACAAAAAAATCCCCAAATCAGAGCCATTATCCTAAGGTGAACATACTTTTACTTAAAAGCTCGTCTTCTGTGATGCTACAATCATGTAGCAAATTTTGAAAACAGAAACAAATGCTTGTCTAAATATTCCACGTGCCTGTTACCAGCTGGGAAGGGTAATTGTCAGGACATCCAGACCTGGTACTTCTGTTTATTGAGCCTCAAGATATGACTAGATAAAGACAGATTATACAAGCTGAAGCCAAAAATAAACTGCAGAGCTTGGTGTGCCCATCAGAGACCTTGCTAGCAGTGTGGCATGTACTCAAATCTGCACTAGAGAGGCTCCATCACACTTCTCTCCACATATTTTCACAGCTTCCCCTCAAAGCATCATTTAAGTTAAACTTAAAAATTTTCCTTAGTCTTAAGCAGCAATTCTTCTAATGAGTAGGTAATGAAGAAAATACATTGCTGAAAGAACCTCTTCCTATTTATCTCAAAAACTGGGGAGTTACTACTGTTAACCATTTAAACAGAAAACAAATTAATGATTATATGTAAAATGAGGTGGTGGTGGGAGAAAACTGACACACACTTTATTGCTTGCATGAGTTAGTTTTATACTCTTTGGATTTGTTCAGATTCTTTTGTTAAAATCTTTCCTCTGTCAATAGATGCACATTCCTCAAAGACATCAGTTGAACTAGGACCTTCATCTTGCAAGCTGTGACATATGGCATTAGTTTCAGTTTTTTGTTCCATGTTATTTTGGCATGTTCCTCTACAAAGGAACTGGGTCATGTGAGACCCAGAGGGACTACACAGAGTTTGCAGCAACCCAGAAAGTCACTGAGCTGAAAAGAAACCTGGAAGAAAGAACCTGCTTCTCAAGGACACAAAGATAAGGAAAGATAATAATTACACACCCTTTTATTTCTGTAGTGTTTTGTATACCTACATTTGAGTTTTTTGGTTTGTATGGTTGGGGTTTTTTTCAAACTATTTGTTCTAACTTCTCCACAACAAAAATATGGATTTTCATTACAAACATTTTTTTTTTCCATCTCCCAGTTTGAAGGGACTTACTTATTTAGGAATAAGTTTGACTATTTGTGCACCCAGCAGAAATAATTGGAATCTCACAAACATTTTTACATGGACTTTTCCAGCAATTTTCCTTTCTCCCCCCAAAAAATCCTTATAAGACCCAGTAACATAACATTTATTCCCCACTCTTAAACTAATGTTTAGAAAACAGAAATAACATCCTAAAAACAAAAATGCATAAAACCCCTGAAAATTTTGGCCAAAACATATTCTGTGCTAAATAAGAATAAATTTGATTTTCTTCTCCTCCAGAAAAATTGCTGTCACTTTCTACTAGCTGTAATTTTTCAGATGCATGGGTTGCATTATCCAGATTGCTTTCTTATTGGTAATATTGCAGTTTCATCCCTCCTCTTCCCTACCCTGCCTCTTTACACTCACATACTTTGGAACAGTGGACTATATCCTCTTCTTGGTTTGGAAAGTTTCCTGTAGTTCATTCATGCTACCACAATTATAGAAAATAATCATCATCTCAGAGTAACTCCTTTTCCTGATCCTAATTCCTATAGTTTAAGGTTTGCCTGAAAGGAAATGCTTAAAACCAAAGATGTGTTTTCACAGAGAGATTGAAAGGATTTCTAAGTACAGAACTGCCAAGATCTCTCTCTTCTCATTTTTCTGACTTTAATTGCTGTGTGAGATAGCCTAACTTTCTGATACTAAATATATAATTTTTTCAATTATTTTGTACTCCAGTCTGCACCATGGAGTCACTTTCAGCTACATTTGCAATTTAAATGATAAGTGAGTTTCGATTTGCCCATTCATATTACTCATCAAAGTCAAAGACCTACAACCCTAAGCATATTTCTCATTGTATTACTAAATTTAATATAACCTCTTTAGGTTCATGAAACACATTCAGTTATAGGAATATACTGAAAATATTAAAATGATGAAAATTCAGTTTACTGGAAGAATGCTTAAAAATTTTTTACACTCCTATATAATAGCATAAATAATTTATAACATGCAATAAAAACAGTAATTATATGCATCTTTAATTAAAAGATCAGGGGAAAAAGAAAAGAGTATTTACAGAAAATGTAACAAAATACAAGGCCTAGTAATGTTTACTGGAGAAGCATGGATTTTAAAGAAAGAAAAAACATGCTAGATTTTGTGATTATCAAAATATAAAAACGTTGGTTAGAAGAGGCTTCTAGAGGTCATCTGATCCAACAGACCTGCCCAAAATATCACTGACACTTGTTCAGACCAGCCAGCCGGATTTTTGTCCACTGTGGTTTGCAGTGTCTCAAACACTGAAGCTTGAGCCACTTCCTACAAGAGATTATTCTCTTTGGATTTTTCCACAGTCCAGTCGAGCTGGCTGATCCACACGCCCTTAGGAGGAAGCAGGATATTTTTCTAGGAAGGTAGGATTTCCTGTGGATTTCCTGTGGTCGCCTCGCTAGAAAGGGGCAGCAAAGCAGCCCTGAAGAAAAAGCATTTTCACCCATCATCACCACAGTGGTGTCACTTGTGAGCTGTCCAAGAGGTAGATAGTATTTTAGCTGGTATGACAAATCCACTTCCCCCTGGAGCAGAAAGCCAAACTGGCAGTGCTTGAGACTGAAGACAGACACAGCTCCTTAAAGGAAATACATGCTGGGGTGTTTGCACACATGCACCCATTTGCCTTGAATGTATTTCTAGAATCTTATTACCTACTGGCTGCATAAATCACGGAATAACTTGTGTTTGTTTGTTTTACCTTTCTAGCAAAAAAACCAAACCCAAACAAACCAGCACAAACCAAACAGTCCTATATTTTTTATTTACATTCTTACATGGGATTTTCTCATTTGAAGTCTTCCTGTATTATGCCAGATATGGAATCTGACATAATTTTTCTCAGGTATTGATGATCAGAGTGAAACCCAAACTGTCAAAGCACAATTATTGTGGGCAGGTCTCCCAACCATTTTGGTTTGAGTTGCACACTAGAAACTTGTTTAATACAGATTTATTTTTCACTGTTCCAGTAGCAAGTGCACCATCTCTGCATCAGGAATTAGCATAACAACAACAAAACTGAGACAAGAGAATCACAATACAGATGAAGCCTGCACACTGAAGAAGCTGTTTTGATGGAAAGGATTTCTTTCTGGAAAAAAACCAAACAGCCAACTTCAAAACAGTGAAGTTGGTGGAATCAAAAGTGAATGTTCCACAGTTTGATCTTGCAACAGCTGTGCACACCAGCCCAGGCTCTTGATCCCTGCTGTATTGTCCCACACTGCATTAGCAAGAATGCTTGATTTGTTGAAGCATAATATTTTGTAAACTTCTCTAAATATTTATGTTTTCACAAAAAGCATCATCCCGTGACAAAAGTGAGATGGATGTTCTTGGTGGCTTGCAGAAAGCACATGGTCAAGCAGGATAGAATAGAAGAGGGAGGGCAATACATTAAAAGAGGAATGGAGAGTGCTTCTCTATGTTAATACAATAAAGACCTATTCTGGGTCTGATTCTGTGCTGCATTTAGGCTTGCATGCTTTAGGATCTGAGGTCAATGAAGAACTCAACAAAAATGTGGCAGGAGGAAATAAGAAATAATGATAACTCAGAAGATAGTTTACTGTTGTTTGTATTTTGTTACCAATCTTCCTATTTGGCAAGTTATCACCTAACATAAACCCAAATCACAATTATTTAAATACCAAGTATGGCAGGCAACACATTTCAAAACAATATGATTCATTAAGAAAGCATGTTTAAAACTGTGATATGGGAATAGTTAGGACAGGATGTGTCTGATAAAGATGAGGCCAGGTTTCTACCTCTGTTTCACAGTTTCTAATCTGGCTCAACCCATAGGAGAGTAATTTGTATCATAGACATAACAGGCCATTCAAATGCTGCCTAGGGCAGGAAATGAATTGCTGGCCTGCATACAGTTCTTTGAGGACAAGTATCTACATTAAAGAAAAAAAACCAAAAAAAACGGATTGATGCATTTTGATTAGACTCTTCCCAAGCCAGTCTCCAGAAGCTGGAATAAAGGTTGAGAAAGAAATCTTCCATTTTGAATAGGTTTTAATCCAAGTTCTGGCCTCTACTTTCATCTGGAAAGATGTAAACTGAGCAAAAATACCATAAATGGGCCTGGTTGTTTTGTTCTTTACTGTCAAATACACCTTTGCTTTAACAACAATGAATTGGACCTACTGAGCCCTTAAAGAAGCATGTGTAACTCACAGTGAATTTGCTGGACATTGTGCCAGGTCAGTATTTGGCTCTCCATCGTAAACTTACCTACCTTCTCCAAAGGTCATACAGAGTTAAATAACACATTACAGTTTTAAGAGACATTGGGATTTCTTTTCCAGATCTTTCACAAAGGTGAATAGACTGTGTTATCTTGAATTTGGAATTCCAACAGGTATGTAATAACTTACTGGAAAATAAAACTATGTCATAACTTACTGGAAAACAAAAACCTTAAGAGCAATTTCTGTGGAAATCAGCTGTTAAATTCAGCAGAACTTTTTCTAGAAAGGGGAACTATTAAGCTCTCTTTAAAATACTGTAACACTTCTCTCCATCTCTAATATTTCATCCTACATTTTTAGTTTCTTCTCCCTAATACATGCCTGTACAGTTGGGGTACAGCTAGAGTCCAACAAACTAAATGGGAAGAGATGAATCACAGAGAGCAAAGGCAGTGAATACAATCTGCTGGATAGATTGATGAAGTCTATGAGGTGAAGGTTTAAGTATTTCGGAGATTTGGGTAAAATCTTTTGTGCTACAAGGCATCCTGTGTGTCGTTGATGAATCACTTAAGGCTGAGCTCAGCTAAATAAATGCAAGCATTTATAGCACAGGAGACAACACTTTGAATAAGTTTACTTTGCAGCCAATAGAGAGAAGCAGGGAC